ACTTTCCATTCCAACCTCTGCCCCTGATGTTTATCCAGTTCTACCTTAGAGTATCTATTTCTCTATGTTGTGAGGAATAAAGTTTGGTGGAGTTTTAATGGCTTTTCATTGCACTTGGGATAAACTCCTAATTCCTTACCATGGCCTTGAAGACTTTATATGATTTGGCTCTTGTGTCCAGATTTTTACATAAAATAAACCCAACCATAGTACCATTGCTAAATTGGGGCTCTCTTCCCACCTCTCTTTCACCCAAAAGCCATAAAAGACTCCAGGCTCCGACCTGCACTCTATTCTGCCATCCATGTGTGTGGCTGGTCCTTATGGTCTCAATATAGCTGCTCCTTCTTTAGGAATTGTGCCCTCATTTCCAGCAGGAATAAAGGAGGGAGGGGGAATGGTAATGGGTTAATAGTTTCTGCCAAATAAGCCAGTCTCTTTTCACCGGGAAAATAATAGCCTTTCTAGAGGCCCACCCAGTAAGCTTCACCTTCCATTCAGGATGGTCAGGAAGGGTCATATGGCCCCTTGAGCTGCAGGGAGCACAGGGAGATACCTTTTTAACTGGACACATTTCTACAGAGGACAGAGAAGAAGGGAGAATGGGAACATGGGGATGGGGAAGCAGTGAGTTGTGTTTGCCATGCTTCCTCACAGGTCATGCCCTTGCTTTCTACTGTGCTTTAGCATATTGACTTTCCCATTCCTTGATTAGGGCCAAGCTATTTCCAACCACAGAGATGCTGCACTGAGAGTCCTCTCGGCCTGGAATGCTCTTTCCCCAGCTTTTCCAGTGGCTGGCAATGTCATGTCTTTAGGTATCTCTCAAATGGGACCTCCTCTGAAAAGCCTTCTCTGATCCCCCCTCCCCCCCCCCCCCCCCGCTCCCCGCCCTGTAACCCACAGTCACTGAATCTTTTATTTTTAAAATAAGCTGAACTTTTTATTTAAAAAAGGTTTTTATTGATTTTAGAGAGAGATATAGGGAGAGATGAATAGGTGACGTTTGGGTGCATGGGGGGACATTCAACCAACTGAACCATAATGGCCAGGGTGAAATGAGCTGAACTTTTGAAACAGAACCTTCCTAATATCTTTCCTGTTATTCTTTTCCACAGAAAGTTGTCCGTTTCCTTCATAGCACTTCTCCTAATCTGCAGTTCCCAGTATACTTACTTATAGTTGATGTCCCTCCCCTAGAAAGTAAGCTTCATGAGAGCAGGACCTTATCCATCTTTTTTTTTTTTTTTTTAATACATTTTATTGATTTTACACAGAGAGGAATTGAGAGGGATAGAGAGTTAGAAACGTCGATGAGATGAGAGAGAAACATCGACCAGCTGCCTCTTGCACACTCCCCACTGGGTATGTGCCCGCAACCAAGGTACGTGCCCTTGACCGGAATCAAGCCCAGGACCTTTCAGTCCACAGGCCAACGCTCTATCCACTGAGCCAAACTGGTTTCAGCGGACCTTATCCATCTTGTTCACAACTGCATTCCTGGCACCTAGGGCAGTGCTTGGTAAACAGTAAGTAATCAGTAAAACATCTAAAAAACAAAAGCCCTCACTTAAGTTCTGGTGACATCCATTTAATTTGGGAGTAAATGGACAGTTATATAGAACGGTAAATATTTGAGATGGCATTTGCTTCTGCCCAAGAATGGACTGCAGCAAATACTCACTGGATAAGTTCTAGCAGACCTGGGAGTACAGTCTGTGAGGGGAGGAATCCCAGAGACCCAGCTGTCTGAACCAAGAGTGTTGCATTCTGTGCCATGGAGTTGGCTTTGTTTGCATAGTTATGTGGGTCTTTAAACTAAGTCCACTCCAACCTCCCTTAAGGAATGTAGAGTTAGAAGACCAGACTTCAAAGAAGTTCCCATGACTCCTTTCTGTTTTTCTCATTCTTTGAACAGATGTATATCACTGCCTTACCTCTCTCCTCCCTAATGTCAGCAGACTTGAAAATAAGCTGAACCTCTTATTAAAAAAATGTTTTTATTGATTTTATAGAGAGAGATAGGAAGGGAGAGGTGAATAGGTGACCTTAGGGTGCATGGGGGGACATTTCAAACACCTGAACCATAATGGTCAGGGTGAAATGAGTTGAACTTTTGAAACAGAACCTTCCTAATACCTTTCCATCTAAACAGAGGTTGATGGTTGTTGACAACACTCACATTAACATCTATCTGACCAGAGAAAGCCAAATCCAGGTACTTTTTAAAAGCAAGCCTTTATTTTATATAAAAGTAAGTACATCATAATAAAAAAGGCCAAAAGATGTCTAGACCAAAACTAGCAGGAGTTGCATGGAGCACCTCTCGGCCATAACAACTTAACTACCAGTTGCTATGATGCTTACTGTAGCCAGTGAATAGGCTGGATCAGGGGGTGGGGTTGACGGCCAATCTCGAGGCCCCTCCTGGCTGCCTGCCTGCCCCTGATTGAACTCTTCCACCCTGATTAATAGACAGGCCTGCAAAAAAAGAAAATAAAAACAAATAAAGAGAGGGGCCTGCTAGCCAAACATCTCTTCCCTTCCCTCCCCCCTTCTCCCTGGCCAGCCACATCCCCATCAGCTCATCCCACCATGACAGGCCTTTAGCACCTGATCACAGCCTCCCCATGGCCACCCCACCCCTAATTGCTCCCCCCCCCCCCAACCACTGGCCAATCGCCAGAGACATCAGGGCCCAGCCCTGATCAGGGGCCCTGTTCCAGGGAGGCCAGTCGGCCAACCTCCTACCATCTCCTCCTCCCGACAAGCTCAGCCCTGATTTGCCCCGATTGGGGCCAGGCTGGCCAGACCCCACCCGTCCACAATTTCATGCACTAGGCCTCTAGTTTATTAATAGTTTACTACCCAAAAGAACTATCAAAGATGAAGCTGTTTGCTAGGGAAAGCTGTAAAGACACTTCATTCTGTAATACCACTGCATGAACTGAATTCAACTTTCCTGAAACAGAAGGCTGGAGGCATTTTAAAGGGTGGAGTGTGCTGAGGGAAAGGCACTGAGGGCTGTTATGAGGGTGGGTGGATGACCTATGTGATAAGGTCATCTGGGTTTGTTAATGGGTGGAGAAACACATTTCTATTTTTAAAGCAGGAGGCCCTTGTGCAAGTTGCAGAAAGGTGCCACTTACGTTGGGCCCTTATCCTTCCACAGGACGGGAGGTACAACAGAAGCACATCCCCCTGAATGTTTGCTTTTCAAAGGGGCTCGCAGGTCCTTGAGGAAACAGTTCTGGCTGGTCGATTACCGCACAAAGGGCAGAGAAAGGATTTGTAATAGCAAGCTTTCTAAAGAAAGGGGTCGTGGGCCTCTCTGCCAATTGCCAGGTTTTGCATGGAATAAACAATATATTCTCCAGGCAGCGTGGAGATTTCTGGGGCTGGCATTTTAAGCGGGGACGTGGAGGGTGTGGGTGGGTGTTATTGCTGGGATCCTTCCTCTGACATCCTGAAGCTGCTAGAAGCCACGGTAGAGTTTGGTCAAGTCTCCAGGCGCAGTGATGTAGATGGAATAGTGGTTTATTTTATGTTTTTAATATATTTTATTCATTTTTCAGAGAGGAAGGGAGAGGGATAGAGTTAGAAACATCGACCAGCTGCCTCCTGCACACCCCCTAACTGGGGATGTGCCCGCAACCAAGGTACATGCCCTTGACCAGAATCAAACCTGGGACCTTTCAGCCGCAGGCCCACGCTCTATCCAGTGAGCCACACCAGCTCCGGCTGGAGGTGGTTTGGATGGAGTCCTTACATGACAAGAGTTCTGCAGTCTTCAGAGCTGTACTTCTTCAAGTTTGATTAATCTGGCTTTTAAAATAGTGAGGGTCTCATAACGTCTTTGTCTATGACACACCATTGTCACATCTCATTATGTACTTAAAAGTTAAATATTTGCCACATTTATCAATCCTGGTTACTAGTTGCTTTTCCCAACTTCAGTTTGGCAGTTTATCAGATTTTCATTTTTAAGGGGATCTTGTTTATTCACTTTAGAGAGGAAGGGAGGGAGGGAGAGGGGAGAGGGAGAGCCCCAGTCGGTGGCCTCTGGTGCTCACACGGCGCCCGGGATGGAACCCCGGACCCAGGTGCGCGTCCGGACCAGACGGAGCCCGCGACCTTCCGGTGCCCGGACGACCGTCCAGCCAACCGAGCGGCCGGCCGGGCGGTGGGTCTCATTCCTGCCTGGGCGTTCGTTGGCCCTTCGATCCCGCTCCGGGCTGATCCCGCTCCGGCCTACTCCTCCCGCTCGTCAGGTTCACCGCGGGCAACGCGCTGCCAAATGGAGCAAGTGCAGCGAACAACGGGTTAAAAAGTAAGAGAAGAGCGCCGGCCCCGCGGACGGCATCCCTCGCCTCCCTCCCTCCCCCGTGACCGCTTCCTCACATAGGACCAGGACGCGCGTGATCCATTCAGTACATCAGCTGTGTGTGATCCTTCCTGCCCGCCCCGCCAAAAGCGCAACAAATGTCTGCGAACCACCTTCCTCTCTTCCCTCACCACTTCCTCGCCTTCTTTCACTCTGGCTAGTCCCCGCCACCGCGCCCCCCGCCTCCACCGCGCCTGCGCGGAGTGGGAGCTCCGAGGAGGTACGCACGACGCGGCCCGGAACGCCTTTGCGTTGCGGCAAAGCCGTAAAGCGGGCTGCCTCTGCTTTGCGGCAAAGCCGTAAAGCGCCGTCACGCAACTGCGGTCCCAGTTCCGCCTCGCTGTTTTCCCGGCCCGCGGGGCTGGGAACGTCGGCGTCCTCGGCCGGTCTGGCTCCTCTCGTCCGCTGCGGGAAGCGCTGGACTGTTGTTTTTGGGAGGGCTCCTGGCCCCCTGGTGTTGATGAGATTAGACCGAGCTACCCCAATCTCGGGAACGAAAGAGGCCGGGTCCTAGTGCCCGCCGGCTCCCCGGCGCCCGGGCCTGCAGGGTGGGCGGAGGCTGTGGCCCACGCTGAGAGCGACCTCGCCGCGTGAAGCCGTCCGTCCGCGGGCGCCGATGGCCGGACGCCTCTTGGGGAAGACTTTAGCCACCGTGTCTCTGTCTGTGGCCTTGGCCTCGGTGACTGTCAGGGCCTCGGGCTCTTGCAGCATCCCGGAGTGCAGGTATCCTCCCGCCCCCTCCTCCTCGTGCTGGCCCCTCCCCGGTCCTTCTGTTGCAGGTGGGGACCAGCTTCCTGGCCGGTGGAATCTGTAGGCTTTGCTGGCGGCTCGGATTTTTTTCTTTCTTTCTTTCTTTCTTTCTTTTTTTTTTTTTTTTGAGTCATATAGAGACACGCTTTCAAAAAGGCTCAGAATGTTTTTATCTGCCCTTGGAAGGAAACGGATGCCATCCTTCCCAAGTCACCAACGTTGTTGTCCTCAGAGTTTGAATAGCACTTGTTTGGGTGTGGTGTTGTCCTGTGCTGTTTTCTTCTGGTTAATACTTAAAAAAACATTGTTATTAAAATGAATACATGCATATAGTTTAACTGTTTGGCCAATATAATTGGGTGTAAAATGAAAAGCGAAAGTCGTCATTCTTTCTCTGAACCTCATTGTAGAGAATGTATGCATTCTCTGCCTCTTTCTGGATTTGTCAACTGTGGATGAATGTAGGGGTTTCTTGTGTCTCATACTGCCTCCTGTTTTTTTTTTTTGTTTTTTTTTTTTTTTTTTTCTCTTTTCAGGTTTTTATTCTTCGAGTCCATTGTTCAGGAAACACATAATGGCTACTGAATTATTCATTCAAACTTAAAATCTTTGCATTCTGTTAGTCATTTCTATGGAATTGTAAATGTTGACAAGAACCTTTTCTTACTCTACTCTTTCATGGAAGCCTTTTTTAAATTTTATGAACATAAAAACGTTTTGAAACTATAAAAGTGATTTAAAAAATTTAGTGATTAAGAAAGATCTAGGTCTTTGGCTGTAACCGGTTTGGCTCAGTGGTAAGAGCATCGGTCTGCGGACTGAAAGGTCCCGGGTTCGATTACGGTCAGGGACATGTACCTTGGTTGGGCGCACATCCCCGATAGGGGGTGTGCAAGAGGCAGCTGATCGATGTTTCTCTCTCATCGACATTTCTAGCTCTCTATCTCTCTCCCTTCCTCTCTGTAAAAAATCAATGAAATATATATTTTTAAAAAATTACTTTTTCCTGAATTATCTGTCTTATTTTGGGTAAATGGTTCTGTTACCATTTGGTTCTTTTTCCTTTTTTTTCCCCCTCTCAAACATCTGGTGGACACTTGTTATCCATCTATATTTACATGAATATTTCAAATATACAGTAAAATGTAGATAATAAGCATTGTTTTCTCTAAATGGGAGGACTGATAGAATATTGCCACCGTGTACCAGGGTGCCTAGCCTGGAAGGTTTCAGTGTGTGCGCAGGTAGGTGGACAAGCTGGGAAACTTCCTCTTTTCCCTTTTCCTAGGGTCTTTGCTGGTGGAGCAACTTCTTTGCTGAGCGTAGCAGCTTTAATTTTACTTCCTCAGTGTGTTGTAGAATAGCAAGCCCAAGTTTCTGTTGTGCTAACACCAATATTCACAATAAAAGACCTCGTTCTTATTTTTCTTTAATTTTTGGCGTTATCCTAATGTAACTTGCTGGCTTTTTTGTTCGCAGGGTAGGGAGGGAAGGGGACTGGTTTTCATGGTTACTGTCACACTGTCCACTTAGGACATTTGGACCCACTTATTTCATTTTTGAAGCCTCTCAGGGTCCTCTTGTAGGAATGCCATCTTTTCCTCACCCTTTTGTGAATATTCTCAAGTGTAGTTTGCTCTACTTTGGTTTGTAGGTCAGTATCATTCCACCTACTTGGAATCTTTCTGAAATTGGTTGAAATCTCTCCTTCACTTGGTGGTGTTCTGTTCTCTCTTCTTGCTGTGGATGTTGTTGCCTTTTACCAGTAGACATCTGTCTATCTCTTCAGTGGGATTTGGAAGGAATAAACATCTATGTCCATTATTCAGATTTCCAAAACCATGGCAACTTAGTCAAGCAAAACTCACCATGACATTAAAATAATGGGGGTGGGGAGGAGATAACCTATCATTTTATTTTTCCTTAAGGATTTTTTAATCCACCCCGATGATATGTTTATTGATGAGAGAGGAGAGAGAGAGAGAGAGAGAGAGAGAGAGAGAGAGAGAGAGAGAGAGAGAGATACAGATACAGAGAGAGAGATACACCAATCGGTTGCTTCCCCCATAGGTCCCAACCAGGGATCCAACCTGCAACCTAGGTATTTGCCATGACTGGGAATTGAACTATAATAGAAACCTTTTGTTGTACAGGACCACTCTCGAAGCAACTGAGCCACCAGGACTGAATCTTCCACTTTGAATAAAATTAGTCATCTTACACTTTGAAGAGCCCCTCCGGGGTTATTAACTTTTTTATAGGTCAGGCTTCCCTGATTATTGGGTGTTTGACAATACTGCACAGATGCAAACTGAGTGCAAAATGGAATAGCAGTTGTTTCAAAGTCTTTAAATAAGATAAGAGAACAACTTAAATAACACGTAATGGTATAGACAACCAAGAATTGGAAAGAATTAAAACATTAATAAAAAAGAAAAGACAGCTTGGCAGTTTCTTACAAAATTTACCATATGATCCAACAGTTGCCCTTTTTGGTATTTACACAAATGAATTGAAAACTTAATGTTCACACAAAACTTGCACACTGATGTTTATAGCTGCTTTATTCATAATTGCCAGAACTTAGAAGTAACCACGATGTCCTTCATTCAGTAGGTGTATGGATAAATAAACTGGTATACCTGGACCATGGAATATTGTTCAGTTCTAAAAAGAAAGGAGCTGTTAAGCTATGAAAAGACATGGAGGAAGTTCGGATACACATTACTAAATTAAAGTAACCATGCTACATACTTATGATTTCAACCATATGACATTCTGGAAAAGGCAAATGAAGCAAGTAAAAACATTCATGGCTGCCAAGGGTTTTTATTATATAGGATTTCAGATTTATACTTCTAAATTTTACTTTAAATTTAAGTCTAAAGTTTATAGTTTGTATAATTATCACAGTTTGACTTTAAGAATTATATTACTTCATGTACAATGTAGGAACCTTATTACAGTATATTTATATTTTTTAGTTATTCCTCCTTTGTGCTATTTTAAAAAATATATATTTTATTGATTTTTTTACAGAGAGGAAGAGAGAGGGATAGAGAGTTAGAAACATCGATGAGAGAGAAACATCGATCAGCTGCCTCCTGCACACCCCACACTGGGGATGTGCCCGTAACCAAGGTACATGCCCTTGATCGGAATCGAACCTGGGACCCTTGAGTCCGCAGGCCGACACTCTATCCTCTGAGCCAAACCAGTTTCGGCCCTTTGTGCTATTTTTGCCATACATTTTACACATGTGTCTTAGATTGTAGATTGCTGAAAAACTTATTTCTTCATGTATACTTAAACAGTCTTTTTTACATTTGTTTTTATGTTGAATTTTCATAATACTAGTGTGTGTAGAGGCCTTATGCATGAAATTTGCTCTCGCAGCACTGGCTTTCTCTTGAGAATTCGTCCGGAATGTTGTCTGGAAGGTCATTTGGCCCTCTGGTCTAAGTAGCATATTATGCTTTTATTATTATAGATACATACATATTTATTTATCTAAAATACCTTTTCCCTCCTCCCAGAAGCTCATTTTCATCGTGTGAGTCTCATCTTAACTCCAACATCATGTCTGGTGCCAAAGAGAATTCCCACAAGAAGGCTCGGACATCTCCTTACCCAGGTTCAAAAGTTCAGCGCAGCCAGGTTCCTAATGAGAAAGTAGGCTGGCTGGTTGAGTGGCAAGACTATAATCCTGTGGAATACACTGCAGTCTCCGTCTTGGCTGGACCTAGGTGGGCAGATCCTCAGATAAGGTGAGCAAATTAGCTGGCATTAGCTGGATTGTAAGGCTGTTAGAGAAAGTAATGGTTGTATTTGTAAATTATCATTTTGACAGCTGAACTATTTTTATCTAGTGCTTGATTTTATTATAACTTAATTTCCATATTTGCTTAAATTCTTGCCAAAGCTAGATACTCTATGTTCATTTATTTTTTGGGGGGCTTTCTATGATGATCTTTTTAAATGGGTCTATTTTGCTACTGAGTATTTTGTTTTATGAAATGACAAGTAGTGTCTTTTTTCATTTGTTCTGTCTTGGTTATCAATAGAACATCTTTTGTGGTTGTTTTCAACAAAGCTAGACTTGAAGAGGTGAAAATATTTTTCAGAAATATTTCCCAAATTACTAAGAATGGGGTGATGATAAAATTAGAGCAGTGTGAAAAAATAGAAAAGGGATTGATAAAGGGGAGAAGGAGGAAAGCAAAATAATTGAGCAAAAAACGCTTTGATTAAAATCATTAAAGTGCTACATTAACTCATATTTTATATTTATATTCCTTTTGATAAATACAATGATAAGTTTTTAAAAATTTGCTACCTGTGATCTAGGCACTGCACTAAATGTTTTATAAGCATTATTTTATTTTATTCATATAAGTATTCTGGAAGGCAAACAGGATTATTGTTTCTACTTTATAGAAAAACAAGCTAGTTTTGGGGCCTTTTCATATATTTGATTTAATGGGTAAATTTATTGTAAATCATAGTCTTCTTGAAACATCATTTAGTCATTTAAGTAAAAAGTTTTGCTAGTTGGATAGATGCAGTTTTAGTTCAGTAGGTTGTTAAATTTTACCACTGACTTATTGCTGTCATTTGATTTTTGACCCACAGTTTTCTTATTTTATCCAAACATGTGTTTGTAACTTTGTAATAATAGTACTTGGATTATGAATTAATTATGAAGCTCACCTGTGGGAAAATTATTAGCTTTAAATAGTTCCATTTCTCAGATATTAGAATTGTATTATAAATACACATTATGTACTATTAAAATTAATGACATTGGCATGACTGCTATAGAGTATAAATAGAGGAACATTGAATACATTTCATTATTTTTCCCTCAATTTTTGAACATTTGAATATATATCACCATCTAAATTGAGCTTTATAACTAACATTAATTCCTATTTTGCATTGGTATTCTCATTACAGTGAAAGTAATTTTTCTCCCAAGTTTAATGAAAAAGATGGCCATGTTGAGAGAAAGAGCCAGAATGGCCGGTATGAGATTGAAAATGGAAGACCTAGGTATGTACTGGGAATGGAACTTTTTATAATAGTGGGTCTTCAAAAGGTAGAAAATATAATGAACAGTTATGAATGCTTGTATATGCCAGACATTGTACAAAAGAATTTATGTGATCTAATTAAATTGTCACAATAACTCTGTGGGTGGATATTTCTAGTTTCATTTACAAATAAAGAGAGAGAATGTAAGTGATTTGCATGTAGTTCATAAGTGGCAGAGGCAGGATCTGAATGCATCTTTTTGTAACTCAATCTTGAAGGTAGAAGTAATTGAATAAGTTAACAGAGAAAGGACTGGAAATGGTATGTTAAGTAGTTATTTATTAAATGTGAGAATGCCTTAAAGTAAGAATTATCCAAACATAAGAGTAAAAATAAAAATAACCCAATAATGTAATATCAAAAAATCTTTGCATACTTTTATTTATTTTTTATTTTTTTATTATTATTATTTTTATTTCTTAGTTTTTCTTTCTTTTTTTTTTTTTAAGTATATTTTATTGATTTTTCACAGAGAGGAAGAGAGAGGGATAGAGAGCTAGAAACATCAATGAGAGAGAATCATTGATCAGCTGCCTCTTGCACACCCCCTATCAGGGATGTGCCCGCAACCAAGGTACATGCCTTTGACCGGAATCGAACCCTAGACCTTTCAGTCCGCAGCCGACTCTCTATCCACTGAGCCAAACCGGTCCCGGCAAATCTTTGCATACTTTTAAACAGGATTTTTCTACACAACTCCAAAAATTTCCATTTCCTTAAGCAAACATTTTAAAAGTTTAGAAGAAATGTAAAAATTAGCATGCTCCAAATAAAACAAAGGGAGGTTCATAGTTTTGTAATCATGGTTCTCACAACTTGCAAAAATGTTGCAATTTATATTCTTACTTTCTCTAGGACAAGGAAAGTAAGAGTGCTCCTCTTGCTTCAACCTGGTCCTTTAGTTTTGCTAAATTCTTTTTTTGGTTATAACTTAATCACCTTTGCATGTTACTGGATCTTTTGAAAGTCATACTGTCCTTGTATTTGACTTATTCCTTAGGTTATTTCCTTGATAAAATATATTAAAAGACAAGAGGCCTGGTGCACAAAATTTGTGCATGGGTGTTTGTGTGTGTGTGTGTGTGTGTGTGTGTGTGTGTGTGTGTGTGTCCCTCAGCCCAGTCTACACCCTTTCCAATCTGGGACCCCTTGAGGGATGTCCGACTGCCCGTTTAGGCCTGATCCCAATAGTACCGGGCAGTCGGACATCCCTCTCACAATCCAGGACTGCTGGCTCCCAACTGCTCACCTGCCTGCCTTTCTGATTGCCCCTAACCACTTCTGCCTGCCAGCCTGATCACCCCCTAACCACTCCCCTACCAGACTAATCGACACCTAACTGTTCCCCGGCAGCCTGATTGCCCCTAACTGTCTTCCCTGCTGGCCTGGTCACCCCCAACTGCCCTCCCCTATAGGCCTGGTCACCCCTAACTGCCCTCCTCTGCAGACCTGGTCCCCCCCAACTCTCTCCCCTGCAGGCCTGGGTCCCCCCCAACTGCCCTTCCCTGCAGGACCAGTTACCCCCAACTTCCCTCCTCTGCCAGCCTGGTCACCCCTAACTGCACTCCTCTGCAAGCTTGATCGCCCACAACTGCCCTCTCTTGCAGGCCTGGTCCATCCCTCTTATATCGTAGAACAGCTTTGGAAATGATCCTGCTCCTGGATCAAGTCCAGAGCTGAAGACATGCACAAAGGAAAGTTAAATAACAATATATGTGCTTTCAGTACAGATATGTGATAGTGCTACTGAATTAGGGAGGGGATACTATTTTCATTTTATTGATCTTACTATCTTTTATTGAGTCATATCAAGTTAGGTTAAAAAAGATGAGTCCATTCAGCTGATTTTGTTTTTTTTCCAGAAATCCTGCAGGACGCACAGGGTTGATTGGTCGAGGGCTTTTGGGGCGATGGGGCCCAAATCATGCTGCAGATCCCATCATAACCAGGTAAGAACTAAAAAACATTTCAGTAGCAGAGAGCTAAGCGATTGGAAAAACACAGACTATAACCATGCGTTTACATATACAGATATAGGTGTATGTACATACGTATACATGTATTATTTGTATATACTAGTATATATCTTTATATGTGTTTGTATATGTACACATACAAACACATATATATATGTACACACATAAAATCTATATGTTAAAAGGACTTTATGTAAAATTACAGTGATGTGATACAAGTGTGAAGCTGTAGTTAGTTGTATGACGAGGTTAGACATTATCTAAACAAAGTTAATTCATCAGGATACTTATAGATCATCTCTTTGTTCTCAGAACTGAGCAGGTGCTTTGGAGGATATAAAGAAGTATAACAGTTCTAAATTTCAGCTCCCTGTCATTGAAGAACTCAGGCTTCATTTGCAAGATGGAAGATAAGAAATAAGAAAACATGTCTAAGCAAGATGGGTAGTGCAGCATGCTTTAGAGAATTAGAAGATTGCATGTGGGCAGGATGATGGTAAACCAGTGTACCCGAGAATGGCATTATGAAGGGGGTAGATTAGAGCTGAACTTGAGTCCTGGATGGGGGACAGGAGAAGGCCTAAGAAAAAGCCTTGTAGTGATACTTATTTGAGTACTAGAGGCCCGGTGCACAGATTCGTGCACTGGTGGGGGCATGGCCTGCGGGGATCGGCCCACTGTGGGAGCATTGCTCTTCCCGGTCAGCTGAGTGGCTGTGGACCCACCCTCTGAGAGGCTGCTGAATGAGGAAATTAGTCTGATCTGGTGTTTTGGGGGTAATGCCTTGGGTAAAGGCGTGTTCTGTGTCCTAGAGGAACCTGGTGGAGAGCTTTGCACCCCAAAACCACTCTGTGAAAGACCATGATGTGTGATGCCAGGTTGGTTGCACCATTGGTGATGTTCAAAGCAGCCATGCTCCAGGATCCTCAGCCATCAGGACAGCCTCCTCCAGGGATCCACAGTCACGTCCCCTTTTGCCATCTGCCTTTGCCAGCTCCCTACACTCTTTCCAGATCACACCTTAGAGAGCCTGAATCAGCAGATGGGGTCGGGCTAGAATCTGAATTATCTCAGGTATTTGATAGGTGCAGAGACTCGGCCTCACCCTGAGCCTGTGAGCAGCTGCTCTCATTGCAGGAGCAGCCACTCACCCCGGTCAGCCGAGCAGTGCGCCTGTGTTGAGCATCTGCCCCATGGTGGTCAGTGCATGTCATAGCTACTGGTCAACCAGTTCTTCTGGTTGTTCACTGGTCAGTCGCTGGGCTTTTATATATATATATTGAGACACAATGAAAAGACCAGCATGGTTAGATTCTTGTAGAAGAATAGTGAATAATAAATTAAACTTAAAATTAACTTTTATGCAATTCTCTTGTGGAGAATATGAAGTGCCAGAGTTTAAAAGTGTGAACTGGAGACATTGGAGGTTTCATAACAGGAAAAAGGCACTCTCTTTCCGATGCAGATTTATCTGGTAAGCTAAATCATATACTGAAGGTTCCTTGGTGAGCGGAGATTAGAATAAAAAAGATGAAATCTAAGGTTTAGATGGACTTAGCATAAAGAAGACAATGCTCTGCGTTTGGTGGGATCAGGAAGGTGTGGTATATTATGAGCTGCTAAAACCAGGTGAAACAGTTAATACTGATCACTGCAGACAACAAATCAATTTGTACGAGGCTTTAATCATGAAAAGACCAGAATGTTCCAGAAGACACGGCAAAGTAATTTTGCTTCATGATGATGCACCATCACACACTTCAAAACCAGTTAAAGACACGTTAAAAGATCTTGCCTGGGAAGTATTAACCCACCTGCTGTGTATTCACCAAACCTTGCTCTTCAGATACCACTTGTTCCGATTGATGGCACATGCACTTTCTGAGCAGCACTTCAAAACGTACAAAGTGGAAAAATTGGGTCTCTAAATGGTTTGCCTCAAAACAAGAAAAGTTCTATTGGGACAGTATCCACAAATTACCTGAAAGATGGAGAAATGTGTATTACTTTAAAGCACTTTCGATATTTCTTTTGAAATTATTGTTTTCTTTGATCACAAAATCCTTAACCGGTACACCTAGTATAGCTCCATTGCTAGACTATCAGTTCTTCCAGGGGAGGACTATCATATTTCACCTATAATTCCTTCCCTGGAAGAACTGATAGTCTACATCTGTATTATATAATCTGCTTTTCTGATGCCACAGAGTGAACTATAAAAAGCAAATATTACCAGATCTTTTATACTACTTGTAATTCTTAAAAAGGGTCTGTGGACTTAAGAAAAAACCCCAAACTTTTGTAATTTCTGTCTTGGTTTTAAACTTATTTTTTGGTTATATTTTAGTACTGTAAAAACTGTTTATATTCTGAATATTCATTATGAAAGTAGACATATTTATAATACAAAATTTTTTTTTGGTAAAAAAAAGCTGATTTGAGGTAAATTTATGTGTACTCTGTTATAAAGAGAAATATTAGGTCTAGTAATAATTAATGTCGTTTCTAATACCTTTTTTAAATCGAATTTATTTAAATAATACAACAAAATTTAATCAACAATATAGTTGCCGTTGTTTTCTACTACTTGTGCCCAACGCTCAGGAAGCATTTTAATCCCTCTGTTGTAAAATTCTTGTGATTTTGATGCAAAAAATTCGGTCAATGCATTTTTGAGGCATTCTTCATTATTAAATTTTTTTCCAAGAAGAAAGTTTTACAAAGAACGAAACAAATGGTAATCGGAAGGGGCAATATCAGGAGAATATGCAGGTTGAGGGAGAACTTCCCATTCCAACTGGCGCAGTTTTTCAGCAGTGATTCTTGCAGTATGCGGTCGTGCGTTATCGTGGTGAAGAATTACGCCCTTCCGATTAATCAGCGCGGGTTCTTTTTCTCTTAAAGCTTGGGCTAACCTTTCCAATTGGGCACTATACACTGCACTTGTAATGGTTTGGTTAGATGGTAAAAGTTCATAATGAAGAATTCCTTTAAAATTCCACCAAACACACAACATCACTTTTTTCGCATGCAAGTCAGGTTTTGGTGTGGGCTGCGGAGCCTCATTTTTGTCCAACCATTGAGGCCGCCTTTTCAAATTAACATACAGCACCCATTTTTCATCTCCGGTAACAATTTGCTCTAAAAACGGCAAACGGTTTTGACAAGAGAGGAGCGAACTGCAAATTGTGACTCTTTGATTACGGTTGTTGTCGGTCAACTCATGAGGAACCCATTTTCCAAACTTTTGGACTTTGCCAAGTGCACGCAATTGATTGGAAATTGTTTTTTGTGAACAATTTAAAGTTGTCTCAAGCTCTTGTTGGGTAATTTGAGGATTTTGCACCAAAAGAGCTTGAAGAGCTTCTTGATCAAAATTGGACACATGGCCTCGACCACTCTTGTCATCTAACGAAAAATTTCCCTCGCGGAATTTCTCAAACCAACGCTGGCATTTTCTGGCGCTAACTGCATCTTGACCAAGAGCACTACAGATGTTTTTTGCAGCCTCACTTGCTTTTCTTCCTAATTGGAACTCGTAAAGCATGCAGTGCCGAATATGCTCTTCATCCGCCATCTTCTTAGCCCTAGTTTTGCAACAAAAACCAAACCAAACACAAACTTTTTCAAGCAAAACTTGTTAATTGCACTTCACACGTTCTGTAGATACCACGTGTTTGAAGGTTATGTCAATACAAGTCAAGGCCAAGCAAGATTTTAAACGAATGTTTTAAAACGACATTAATTATTACTAGACCCGATACATCTTTATAACTTTCTCAAGCTTGAGGTAGAATTTTGGCTTTTGTGCTAAATTAGTTATGATCTTACATTACTATTTACAGGTGGAAAAAGGATAAAAGTGGAAATAAAATCACCCACCCCATTTCTGGAAAAAACATCTTACAGTTTGTTGCAATCAAAAGGAAAGACTGTGGAGAATGGGCAATTCCAGGGGTGAGCATTAACATTAAATTAATGTTTTAAGTTCTGTTTGATTTATTTACCACAAGATCATTGTGTATGGATCTTTTCTACTCTACCTATCCTCCATTCCTCAACACTTCAATTAGTAATTCTTTTGTCATTCATCACTGCAATGAAGTGTCATTGTCAGTAACAACTCTAGGATAATAAATACAGCAAGGCTGTTTGAATCTGAGTCTGAATCTGAACCCCTTGGGAAAGAACATGGACTTCGAAGTTAGACCTAGGCTCATATCCTGGTCTTTCCACTTTTAGCTGAGTGATATGGAGTTCTGACCTCATCTTTATAGAAAAGATCATCTTATCTACTTAATAGGATTACTAGAAATAGCATGTAGAGCAGTGATTATAAAGTAGGTACTTACTAATGTTGGGTCCCATCTCAGAAATCAAATCCAAGCCCAAGGTAAAATTTTTAGCATTTTTTTTTGTTGAATTGTGATAATTTTAGAAATAATAAATTAGATAATTTTTATTACTTGATAATTATTATAGTCTTAAAAATTTCCATATCAGCAGGAAGAGTGTACTTTGACTTCATATCAGTGGTATATATGTAAAAAAATAAGCATATATATATATATATATATATATATATATATATATTTCTTTTAAAATATATTTTTACTGATTTTAGAGAGGAAGGGAAAGAGAAAGAGAGATAGAAATACCAAAGATGAGAATCATTGATTGGCTTCCTCCTGCACACCCCACACTAGGGACTGAGCCTGCAACCCAGGCATGTGCCCTGACCAGGAATTGAACCATGACATCCTGGTTCATAGGTTAACATTCAACCACTGAGCCACCCCAGCAGGGCCCAGTAGCATATTTTAAATGGCTTTTAAAAATGTATATATGTATGGCAGAGTTTTATATTTAATGCCCTAATGTTAAATGGAGATAGTTTTACAAGAGGATGACTTTTTATACACATACCACTATGTGCAAGAATTGATTTTTCTTTGTAAGATAAAAATAGAATGGAAATGAATATCTCAGCTATAACTGTGATGAAAGCCTAGCCTAGTAGTAAAACTTTGCTCATACTGAGTACAAAATGTAATAATGATTTCATCATAGGGTTTTATTTTTTTTACTAGAGACCCGATGCATGAAATTTATGCACAGAGGGGTGGTGTCCTTCAGCCCAACCTGCACCCTCTCCAATCTGGGACCCCTCATGACTGCTGGCTCCCAACTGCTTGCCCCTAACCTCTTCTGCCTGCCAGCCTGATCACCCTTTAACCATTCCCCTGCCAGCCTGATCAATTGCCTAACTGCTCCCCTGCCAGCCCGATTGTCCCCAACTGCCCTCCCCGGACAACTTGGTCACCCCAAATGCCCTTCCCTGCATATTCCCTCTTTATTAGATAAGGTTTTTTCTTTAACATATTGAACAACCCTAACTAGTTTGGCTAGGTGGATGGAGTATTGGCCTGCAGACTTTAGGGTCCCAGGTTCGATTCCAGTCAAGGGCATGTACCTTGATTGGGGGCACATACCCAGTGGGGAATGTGCAGGAGGCAGCTGATCGATGTTTCTCTCTCATAGATGTTTCTAGCTCTCTCCCTTTCTCTTCCTCTCTGTAAAAAATCAATAAAATATATATTTAAAAAAATAAACCTTTAAGATTCTTCCATATCTGCCTGGCTGGTGTGACTCAGTGGTTGAGACCCAGGCTGCAGCAGTTGGGAGGGGATCACACCATGGGGGTGTGCACCCCACCAGGCTGAGACCCCAGGCCGCCACTGGCAAGGGCTCACACTGTGTGGGCGCGCATCCCTGCCAGGCTAAGACCCCAGGCTGTAGGTTTGTGTGTGTGGGGTCACTCCATGGGGAGTGGATTTGTTTTTGTTTTTTATAAAGGCTCAGGAGGGCCTCTGGGCAGCATTTCACCAGTACACTTACTCTGTAGGCTCTCAGTGGCAGCCGTCCCTGAGACTTGGGGACTCCACAGGGGCTGAGACATCTGGGAGCCTCCATCTTGTGTCTATGGGCGCCACCATTTTTGTCGCTGAGTGACGGTTAATTTGCACATTACTCTTTTATTAGATAGGATTCTCATTTGAAATTCCAATTAGGGAATTATTGTCACTGATCATTTTGAGAATCATTCATCTAATTAGTATATTTTGTTTGCTAATAATGCAGACATTGAGGAAGCAACAGAGCAACATGAACAAACATCCCTTCTTCTTGGTGCTCACACTCTAGTGGGGGAGACAGATAATATAAGATAAATAATTATACTGGTATCTTAGAATATCACTTTCTAAGGAAGGGGACTAGGACATGTTTGAGATTTTGCCATTTTAGACAGAGAGGTTAGAGAAGGTCTCCCTGAGAAGACCTTTAGTAAAGATTTGAAGGAGGTGAATCCATGAATTATGTGGATGTCTGGGGGAAGGCATCTTGGACAGAAGTAATATAGTGAGTGAAAAGTCCCTAAGATGAGAATATGTTTGGCATGTCTTAGGAACATTGAAAAGGTCAGTGTGGCTGGAATGCAATGAAAGATGGGGAAAGTATCAACTTTCTGTATTCTTTCTTGCCTTCCTTCCTTAGCTGGAAAGGAGTCTGTTAGCTCAGTTTACCATAGGCTAACCTTGGACCAATTACTGTGGTCAAATATATCTGTGATACCCCTGATAGGCTGCTTCTACTAGAAACACATGGTGTAGGGAAGAATATATGACAGAGGAATAGGGATTGTGTTTATGGGCAGACAGACCAGTAAAGGTATGTGCATCACTCAGTAAATATTTGTTGGATAAATTAAAGCTTATTACTTTTCTTCCTTTTTTTCTTTTTAAAATGTGGCCTTAGGGGATGGTGGACCCAGGAGAGAAGATTAGTGCTACACTGAAGAGAGAATTTGGTGAGGAAGCTCTCAACTCTTTACAGAAATCCAGTGCTGAAAAAAGAAAATTAGAGGAACAGTTGCACAAGCTCTTCAGCCAGGAACATCTAGTGGTAAGAAATGGTGGTTCCTGGAAGGAGTTAGTCCTGTGCATTGGTGTTAAAGTTCACCTGGAAATCTGGTAGATCATCCTCTGATAAAGTGAAATATTGTATGTTTGTAAAACCTGTTCATAAAACAACTTAAAATTGTAGTAGGTCTACACTATAAATAGATTTCTTTAGTTCGATTACATCATCTATATATATAAAAGGCTAATATGCGAAGTGTCCCTGAGGGAGTTTGACCAGGAGACCAGGAGTTCAATTGCTCTCTATTGACGTGTGCTGACCACCAAGGGGTGGCATGGAACGAAGGAATGTCCCAGCCAGCAGCTGGAGGGAAGGCCTCAATTGGCCCTGATTGCTGGCCAGGCCTAGGGACCCTACCTGTGCATGAATTTTGTGCACTGGGCCTCTAGTTTATTATAATACATTTTTTTTCTGTTTTTTGTTCAGACTAGGTATGAGCTAATGTAATACTGAGCTCACCCATCCAACAGAAAACATTAATTTTTTTTGCATGAATTCAGCTCTTTTGGAAGGACATTTACATTTGAAATTACGTTGTTCAGAGTTTCTCTGGTTTATAACCATTTAAATTACATTTGTTTTGTCTACATATCCTTTGTAAAAGTTTAAAAATCACCTTATAAGATATAGGTACACTAATAATAAGGAAAAGGACCAATTTCCTTTTTTGTTGACTTTTTTTATTGCTTTGTTTTCTTTTTAGAATTAGTATTTCTTAATTATTTATCTTATCATCCAGTCCACATTTGTGTTAGATAGCTAGATCCAAATCTTTTCATGTATTAATAGTTTAAATATTAGTCTTTACTAACTTTACTTATATATCTCATTTAACAGATATTAATACTTAAATTATAAAGACTTAAAAAAAAAAAAAAACCAGTAGGGGCACACCCCCTACTGGGGATATGCCCCCATAAAGGTACATGCCCTTGACCGGAATCGAACCTGGGACCCTTCAGTCCCCAAGCCGATGCTCTATCCATTGAACCAAACCAGTCGTGGCGGTTTTGTGAATTTTAAAGCTGCCTCAAAGGTTCTTAAGAATATTGTTCTATAGGAAATTTAAAATAAGCATAAGGAATGCTATATTAAAGATGCTATGGTATTTATATTTATTTTTTATTGTAGTAAAAAACATATAATTTACCTTTTAACCACTTTAAGTGAACAGTTATGTTAATTATATGCACATTTTTTTGGAACAGGATATTTACATTGCTGATTTTAATGACAGTAACATGCTTCTGCTCTATCCATTCCTGTTTCACCCTACACTATTTTTTTTTTTGTATGCCTTCTTTTAAAAATAGATATATAAGGGATATGTTGATGACCCTCGGAATACTGATAATGCATGGATGGAGACAGAAGCTGTGAACTACCATGATGAAACAGGTAATTTTACTTATATTTATTAAACTGACTGGGTTAGAGGATCAGTCTAAGTCCAGCAGCCTACTAAGGCACAATTAAATCTGGACTATTTTAGTAACTTAAGCCAATCAACTACCAACTATGAGATTATATTTAATATTGTTGATATTAAAAGAATACATAGAAGAAAGCTTTGCCCCAGCTAGTTTGTCTTAGTGGATAGAGCATCAGCCTGCCGACTGAAGGGTCCCAGGTTCGAATCCAGTCAAGGGCACATATCTCGGTTGCAGGCTCTATCACCAGCCCTGGTGTGGGAGGCAGCCAATAAATGTGTCTCTCTCATATTGATGTTTCTCTCTCTTTGTCTCTCCCACTCCCTTCCACTTTCCCTACAAAAAATAAGTCAATAGAAAAATATCCTCAGATGAGGATTAGCAACAACAACAAAAAAAGAAAGCCTTAAAAGTATTTTCTTTAATCCATTGGTAGTACATAAAATTAAGATTGAATTTATGGACTAAAATTATTTGCCTTAAAGTTATTAAATTGTATAGTGTAAGTCCATTTGTATAAAATAAAAAAACAAAAGCAACCGGAGATTTGGATAGGAAGTATGGCTAGGATAAAAGAAATGGGATTTACATCTGTCTTACTATTTGAAATAATTTTATAACAAGTGTGTGTCAACATAAACATTATTCAAACCTGTGGAGAATTTTTATTAGCTTATCTGAGCCAAACTCAACAAAGTCTGGAAGCAAAGTCTCAGTGGATTGAAAAAATACTCTGGGAAAATGGCAGTTTTGTACCGTTTTATACATTATTATCAAAAGAGGAGTTGTAAGTGGATTACATGGAACATGTTGGTTATAAATTAGGGATGTGAGAGAAAGCAAAGTGGGGGAAACCTCTAGGTGAGAGCACTTATTTTTAATTTATTAATGTAATTGATAAATACTTCTTTTATGGTTTTTATTTGGTGTCATACTTAGAAAAGTCCACTTACCCTAAGACTATAAAATAAATCACCAGTAATTTTTTTTTTACATTTAAATCCCTAATTGCTCTGGAATTTATTTTGATACAAGGTTTCATGCATTAGTATGAATTTTACTTTAGGATAATACTCTTACTTTCTAAAGAGGAAAGCTTTCTTATTGGTACCTCCACTTAAAATTTAGAAACCTAGTTAAAATTTGGGCGTCTGGAAAATTTGGAATATCCTAGTTTTTAATTCACTTGGCCACCTAACACGATGATTGCTTACTTGTTGTTAGTAAGAATACTTGAAGATGCAGTTATGCTGAAAAAGAAATGAATTGTTTTTTCTTGGTGATGCTTTTTCTTTGGTAACCAGGTGAGATAATGGATAACCTCACCCTCGAAGCTGGAGATGATGCTGGAAAAGTGAAGTGGGTGGACATCAGTGATAAACTCAAGCTCTATGCTAGTCACTCTCAATTCATCAAACTTGTGGCAGAGAAACGAGATGCACACTGGAGTGAGGACTCTGAAACTGACTGCCATGGGTTGTAGCTCACAGCCTCATGCAAGCCAAAGGAGCAGAGGAGCTTGTGCTGCAAAGGAGGCACTATCACAGAACTCAAACGAGCAAGCAGGGTTGGTAACTGGGAAATTATTTTATTCACTTTTAAATGTTTTTTTTTTTTTTTTTTTTCATCTAGAAGGTTTTACATCAGAATAAAATTAGTAAATATGGTGAAATATAACACGGTATTTTCTGCTTTCCAGTCAAAAGAAATATAAACAATCATATTTTATATATATTCAATTTAAGCATGCTTTTAACCAAATTTAAACAGGTTTGATGCTCTGAAGAATTGTAATCTGAATAAAGATGAATTTCTGATGAGCCCTGACTTCTGCTTTCCATCTGGTTCTTGTTTGTCGGTTTTGGTTTGTTTTCCATCCCTCTTGCTCTGCTGTGGCCTGACGGGTGTTCCTGCCACCTCAGGCTCCTTTCGAAGGAGCACCACCATTGAGCAGTCTGAGTTATCTGTTAGTTTTTGGCTTCACATTTTGCTTTACATGATCTTGTTGAAGCTGATTTTAAAAAAGGGAAGCTTTATCCTTGTCTTTAGAGCCTTCAGTTTTATGAGGAAATTTCAGCCCTCTTTTAGTTAATAAAGATCAATAAATAGGAGCTCATGATCTCATTTTGAAAAATTCTGAAGTAAAGACATGTCCACCCTGGCCAGTGTGGCTCAGTGGTTGAGGTCAGGGTTTGATTCCTGGTCAGGGCACATGTCTGCATTGCAGGCTCCATCCCTATTTCAGGCTCAATCTCCACTGTGGGCGTAGAGGAGGCAGTCTATCAACGATTCTCTGTCGTCATTGATGTTTCTATCTCTCTCACCCTTCCTCTCTGAAATCAATAAAAATATATTTAAAAAAACATGTCCAGGACATTAGTACTTTGATTTAATATGTATGTTTATTTTACTGTACTGTAACTGCATGTTATAAATGCATTAAAATAGATGTTAAAAAGGAACTGATGTAAGATAGACAGAGGGAAGTCTTTGGGGTCAGTGCTTTTGTTAGGTTAGGAATATTAAGTATTGAAATAGGTTTTTGTGGGACTCAATGTTAATATAATTCCCAGAGAAAAGGAAAAGAGATGGTGTTTTGGATGCTCTTGGGAGCAGGGAGGAGGGAAGAAAACTGCCTTGTTCCATGATATCAACTCCTGCCAACCTAAAGGGTCTGTCTCAATTCCATCTTCATTCCAGTTAGACTACAAATGGGCATTTGACAGAAAGGAGGTTTAGGGGTAGGGACATGGTAGTTGTCTTCTTTAGACCAGGGGCGGGGAACCCTTTTTTTCTGCCAAAGTCCATTTGGATATTTATAACATCATTTGCTTAATCTAATTCATTTAACAAATTTATGTTGCTATGGGAAAAGCTCCTAGATGTATTGAATTTCAAGTTTCACCTGTGTTTGCCTTGGTAGGGCCAGACCAAATGATTTCGCAGGCCTTATGTGGTCCTTGGAACAGATACACCCACCTACATCCCCCAACCCCTACTGCTTAAGGCATTTGAAAACAGTATTAGGCTTACTCTGTAGCTAGAGTACAGAACTAGGGCTCAAGTAAGTCAAAAGGTTTGGGATCCTCCTCCCTCCCCAATTTAGTGTCAAAACTCCTTTGGTGGTAAAACGACTGATCTGACTGACGAAGCTTTTTCTCCTCGAGTGGGACTGTCAGTTTTGCTGAGAAACATTAGAATGTTTGGTTTCCAGATGTTTGCCTTGAACCCCCCTGAAGAGTTAAGAGGTTTAGGTGTACGGTATTAATTTTCTAAAATCCATGCAATCCTGGTCACTGGGTATGTAATAAGGGACTTGTGCCTGAAAAGGATGACATTCTCATCGATGAAGGCTAAGATGACCTGCTCTCAGCATGAAAGAGTCTGATTCTACTTTCACTGTTTGGCAGGAAGGAAGTTCTTCTTTTTGGCACTTACATAGAATTCTCTAAAATTGAAATGGCTTACAAACGCTCTTGAGAAAGTTTGAGCAATTTCCTTAAGAATGGCATTTACTTATGTTTAATAGTGTTGTGTTGTTTTTAAAGATTTTTTTTTAATTTTTTTTTTTTTTTTTAGAGAAGAGAGGAAGGTAGAGTGAAATATTGATGTGAAAGCAAAACAATCATCTGGCTTCTGCATGCCCCACACTGGGGATAGAGCCTGCAACCCACCCTGACTGGGAATCGAACTGGCAACTTTTTAGTGCACTGGATGACACCCAGCCAGCTGAGCCATACCAGTCAGGGCTATCAAACAGTTTTGATACATTTAAACTGGCATTAGTAAAGATATGAGGTTATATTAAAACTTTATTTAAAGAATTACTAAAGCACATGGTCTACAGAGAAATTCTTTGTGGCACTTTGGAGTTTTCACTGGAACATTTACAAAGTTTGAGAAAAGATAAAACTGCTACTGAAAATTCTAGATAGGTTCTAAGTAGATAATCTTCTGATAACTGAGTATCCAGCACCATCTATAGTAAAGACCAGATTAAAATTTTTAGTTTAAGACATTTCTGAAGGTATATCTACTATATCACTAAACAATATTAGTTGTGTATTTTGCTTTCTAAAGTTTTAGATATAAGGAATATTTTTGTTTTTTAGAGACATTTAAATAAATAATAATAATAGATGATATTGATCGAATCTACACTATATCATTTAATCCTCACAATAGTCCTGTGAAGTTAGGTAGTTTATTTTCATTTCACAGATGAAAATGGGATTTAGAAAGGGTGACCCAGTTTTATTAACTAAGGGATAGAACTAGGATTTGAATCCTGGTCTGCCTGGTTCAAAACTTACTCTCGGTCTACCATATTCCCAACTAAGGTAAGGAAGCTTTTGTGATCTGTTACTTTATGCATTTAGGAAGATTATCTGTTACCTAGCAGTAATATTACCCAGATGTAATACAGTTATGTTTTGTAACTTAAAATTAAAAGCCATATCTGATTTGACTAGCATTGTTAAAATGGTTTGCATAATTTGGCCCAAAACCAATTTATTTAATAATATCTAAGGATTAACCTAAGGATAATTAGTGTTTGTCTTGCCAGCAAGTATTCTTGAAATTAGAAAGCATTTAAACTCAAATGGAAGCATATGCTAAATGTATAAGAGCATAACTATCTAAAAATCTAAACATTTGGTAGCTAAAGAGGGCACTTAAAAATTCTAACCATGTTTAGAGGCTAAATGCTACATTGTCTTAAGTATAAGGACTTAAGTGATTGGTTTATTTGAAACTTAACAAACTGATTTTAAAATATATACTATGAAGAAATTTGTATTTGATTTTTTTTACATCTACTTCTATTATTAATTTACCAATACATACACAATCTGAAGCTATTAAACTCTTAAGATAAAAATACTGAAAATGTATAATAATGCTAGAAAGGAGCTTTCACTAACCTTATATACGATAACTTGTGGCATAGTAGTGAGAGAATTACTGAAAAAAGAATGATACAGATTATATAGTTTTTGCCATAATTTCTTCTTCACCTCTACCCACCTCTTTCATATTAGGCTTATTTTATTGCTGATGGATTAGTATTGGTATAATCTTGTATATTAGGAGGTAGAGAATAATGTGACTCTATTATATCTAAATGTTGATACATTGAGTCCTCAATTGTCTTTTCTGCAACACAGACTTAATTCCTCCCACTTGGCTCCTGATGGTATGATAAGAATATTAAAAGTGGTAGGAGCCATAGCCAGTTTGGCTCAGGGGATAGAATGTTAAAAGTGGAAGGAACCTTAGCCAGTTTGGCTTGTGATAGAACGTCAGCCTGCTCAAGGGCACAGACCTTGGTTGCATTGATCTCCAGTCCTGATTAGGCCGATGAAGGAGGCAACCAATCCATGTGTCTCACATTGATATTTCTCTGTCTCTCCCCCTGCCTTCCACTCTCTTTTAAAAAAATCAATTAAAAAATATCCTCAGGTAAGGCTTAATGCCGGGAACCAATTCCAGAATGTAATAATTACAAGAGTTTTAACAAAAGGCTAATGAAGCTTGGGTGACTCAACAAGGGTGAGCCACATATGTAATTTACCTGATGAAAACTGCTAGTTGGCACTTCCCCCAAACCTGAATAGGATTGTTAACTGCCAGACAGCTCAGGGTATTTTATTGCCTCCTGTTGGCCAAACTCTTGAACAGCTGTAAGGTATTCCAAACTGACAATGCTTCTGTTACCCTACCTTTTGAAATGTATATCTCCACCTTGTATATATATATACACACACACACACATATATATATATGTATATACCCATATATATATATGTATATAAATGTATATACCCTACCTTTTGAAATGTATATCTCCACCTTTAATAAATATACAAGGTCCTAGACAAGGAGAGTCTTTAGCTCCTTCTAGCTGAAAATTCTCTGACCCCAATGCCTTTCAAAATTATCTTTCGTCTCCAGACTCTTTAATCACATACACGAAGCCCCTTTCTCCAGAATGCTGAACCCTTTGTAAGGCTGGGCAAAGAATCCCGGCATTATGACGCCAAAGAGGGACACCAACACTTAACAACAACAAAAGGAAGTGGTAGGAAACACTAAATAAGCACTCTATGGCAGTGACACTTGTTAGAAGTAAAACTTGGGGTGAAATCCAATTCCTTTCTCAAGATTGGAAATTGAGAATATTTTCATTCATAGAATTCTCTCTAGGTTGCTTAATACTGTATATAATTTTAACATTAATTCAGATATTTACAAAAGGGATACATCTTTTGTCTCTATTTTTTGCATATATTTTAAATGAAACAAACTTGGGTGAGACTCCAAGTGGAGCCTCAAGGCGTGCCGCCTTTCCACCCGGCGAGCCGATGCTGTGCCATCGGGCAGTCCGAGGTTAGGTAATTTCACAGCAGGCTTTGCTCACTGCTGACGTGATTGTCCACAAGACAAACATATGCTTGAGGTAAAATTTACTGATTGAAATTGATTTTTTTTCCCTTTTTTACTGATTAAAATTTCTTAACCTATTATTGCATATGTTCCTGTAAAAGGAAATTTTGTTAAATACCATGGGCATTATGAAAAGAATACCTTTATAGTCCTGCAGAAATTAAGATCTAAAGATCTTGGAGATGATTGGATCAAAAAACTATGGTATATCTACACAATGGAATACTATGCTGCCATAAAAAAGAAGGAATTCTCATCGTTTGCAGCAACCTGGATGGAATTGGAGAACATCATGCTGAGTGAAATAAGCCAGTCGATAAAAGAGAAATACCACACGACCTCACTCATTTATGGATAATAAAGAACATTATAAACTGATGAACCAAAAGATAGATATAGAGACAGTAAAGCAACAAGCAGACTGTCAAATTACAGCAGGGAGGGTAGGGAGATCTGGGGGAGATGAGATCAACCGAAGGACTTGTATACATGTATATAAGTACAACCAATGGACACAAAATTCTGGGGAGGGAGGGTATGTATGGGGGGGAGGGGACAATGGTAAAATATGTGCAAAGATAATTTAATTTAAAAAATATAAATAAAGATCTTGGAGGAAATTGAGTTTATAATTCATGAGCTCCAATTTGGGTAGATCAGTTGGGTTTGATTCTGCCATCTGTTTTTATGGTTCTCAAGAATATGCTTACCTTTTCTGAAGTTAAATGTCACTTACTTTTATCTATAATCATAGAAATGAAGCCTTACCCCAAGTAATCCCTAAAAATAAAAAAATAAAAAATATTATCTTAAATGTATTAAGTAGATTTTTAGTTTATAATAGCTTAAAAATGAATATGAACTTACCAGGAGTTGGTTCAAAATAGAACTGATTAACTATGAGAAAAGAAAAATCAATAATCAGTGCTATCCTGGATTTATTTTTAACTTAGTATATATATATAAGTTAAAATATTTTCTGTACTAAATGTTTTTAATGAAAAATTAATTCCTTTTTATTGCTTAGTTTTTTATTTGCACGATGTAAGGTTTTTAAATGAATATGCAATATCTAGATTCAAATTATCTTAATTCTGTCAACTATAATAAAAAAGTGAAGAAATTGGTAAAAAAAAAAAAAAAAAAGTCACTTGTAATACCAGAAACAGTTTAATATCTTGGCTATTTAGTGACTTGCTTGTTTCATTTAATACTATTGGTGCTAATAAATAGAAAGAAAACACCCTGAATAATAAAAAGTAAATCCCTTTAATTCACAAAACTATTTTCCTGTAACTGCCTTGTAACTGTATTTACTATATCTAAAATATAGAAAATTGATGTAAATGGTTAATAAACTCACTGTGTACACTTCCATACAAGTGCTTACTTATCGATATATTACGCAAATTCCCCATGTGAATGATACTGGAACCAACATTTTAGGACAACTTTGAGTGCCTTGCACCAAGGGTTTGCTTACATAACCAGTTTCACTGGAAAAGTATTGCTTTGTAGCTTCCACATGGTCCTTCTGTTTTAAGAGGCTGGCAGCTTGCTCAAAGACCATTGACCTTTGACTAACAAGGCAGAGCTGCCAGGTTCAGCACTGTCTTGACTTGTTCTTGACCTGAGTATCATTTGTTCTCTTAGGATGCTTTTTCATGCTCCCTGACTTAACTAGGATCACTGACAGGAAAAAAAAAAAAATGCCATGAAGATAGGGCAGTTTCTTTAAATTATTCTGTCAGGATTCTTTCCAGGATGGGTTTTGGCCAACAGTGCTTTAAAAAATTTCAGAAAAACAAAGTATAAATAGGTATTAAGAGTTCAGGTCTAGGTAAATTGAATGAGTCATGTGTCTGAGGGGTTAATATTTTCACTGGAGAGGACCTTGGAGCCAAATACATATTAGTACATTTATCCAAGGTCATGTAGATAATTTAATTGTAACAATGAAATTAGAATTCAGACTTTCAAATCACAGGCCAGTGCTCTTTTAGCCATGTTTTGATGGAAAGATGAACTTGCTAATTTTTGTAATTACCAATAATAGTCATTGAAGGTAGTTTCTTAAAAACCTTTAGTTAGAAATATGCAGAATTTTTATTTTTTTTATTTTCCTTTTGGAGTTAGACAGTAATGCTGCTTAAACAGACTTAGGTTCTTATTGAGGTGGGCTAAGAGCAACCTGTTTGACCTTAGTTTCCGGGACACTTCAATATTCTTCAAGAAGGTAGATTTTAAATAGTCTATATTGAAGTATCCTGGAAATCTTATCTTATAATTTAGGTCTAACTTTCTGACATTATTACAAAATACAGCATGTCCCTGATTCTAAAGTACCATAATTATAAAATGCACCATTTAGTTAATGAGAGAATTTTGAAGAAAAAGGAGATTCTAGATGAAATCTAATATTTGCTGTGGGATGTGTCTTGATTTCAGAAAATGTTTAAGTGTGAAAAGTATTTTTTAGACCAGGACATATAATTTTTAATATCTTTATTTTTGTAATTCCATGTCTTTATCCTGTGTCTGTAAAGTAAGATTCTTAGTAACTTATTGTATCAATAAAAGGCCTCCCTAAAAAAGTTGAATTCAGGGAAAAATTAACTGTTGGGACTTAGACTTGATAATCTTTAATGTATTTATGCTAATGCTTTGTTAGAAGTTTGTTTCACCTCTTCTAAAGCAACTTATTCTGTAACTATTTAGTCTTAATGACTCTTCACTTTCACCCTCATCAATAAGAGATGAGGTTGTTTTGTTGGTCTATAGTTGGATTAATTGAGTAAATAAATGTATAACTATTTGCAGGCATTGAGAATATTTTTTTGGTTTTGAATTTAATAGCCATGCTTTATTTAATTTCCAAATGAATTGGAATAATAAAGATAGTAATTTTCATGATGAAGTGGCTCATCATATGTAGGGTATTGAATGTAGTTATGTGTGTGTGTGTGTGTGTGTGTGTGTGTGTCCCTATATGCAAATAGACCAAATGGCAGAACAATAAACAACCAGTCGTTATGATGTGCGCTGAACACTAGGGACATGGTAGGCGTCAATAGCAAGTGGCTGAGCGCAGAACATGGCAAGCATTGGCCACCGTGAGATGATGGAGCAGGTTAGTGGGGTGCCAGACCAAGGCTGGTTGCTGTCATTGGGGCAAGCCTCTGATGGTTATTGAAAATTCTTTGCTCCCACGTGCCACAGTCCTGCTGGGTGCTCACACCTGCTGCCAGCACTGGACCCACTAGCAACCACTGCCAGGGCCAGCGCCAGAGCCACCGCTCCTGTGAGCGTCCCTGAGGGCTTCTCCACCTCTCCCTGCTCATAAGTGGAAATTGGGGCTTCTTCTAACGCCACTTCTTCAAAATATACCGCACTGCTGATAACGCTGGCCCTAATTGCTCCACACTGTCAGCAGGTGCGAGAAGGGCTGGTGCTGCAGGTGGGAGCAGCTTCGGGAGCAGGGCTGCCGGCAGAGAGGGAACCAGGGACTGAGGTGGGAGAGGCCAAGACCCGCCCCTGTGCCCACCACAGCCTTGTGGCCCACAACTCCTTTCAAGGTGCACAGATTCGTGCACTGGGCACCTAGTATTGTTATAAACTTTATGGATGAACAGGCTAGAATATATTTACCGTTATAATGTCATTAGGTGGCAGGACCTAAAATAAAGGAAACAATTAAATAATTGAGGTGTAATTCAGCATTTTACCTTTTTTATGTTATACATTTTAAATTAGCTTGATTAAATGAAAACATGTTTTTTAGATTTCTTAGCATTACTCAAACTATGTCATTGAAATTCATATTCACTAATATTTTAAGTATATCCCCATAGCCAGTTGCCCCATTTTCTTTTGTGAGCTCCAGATGTAGTAGAGACTTTTAGGGAAGATCATTAAATTTAAGCTTACTGGGTTGGAAAAAGGCTATATTTGGGGATTACTTCTTTATGAAAGAAAACTTTAATGTCATTTCCTATAGTTTTAGGAAAGATTGCTGTTATGTACACAACTAATTTTTGGTTTGTGACTGAGTCAGTCATCATTTGTAATTATTTCTCATTCAATACAATCCCTTCAAAAGTAAAATTTAAATAATCCTTTATACCATGACTATAACCTTAAATTTAGTTCAAAGGCTTCTAGAACAGATTCCATTTTAATAAGGATGTATTTTCCTTCCACTAATGGCAAATGTAAGCATAAAATTTGAGGTAAAATGGACTTTATAAATATTTTTCACTATTTCAAGAAAGTAAGGCTCAAAGTGATATGGTTAGCTAGTTAATTATTAATAACAGGAAAGAGGCGAAAGGGAGGCCAGATGTTATAGGCGTGGTCATTTGGGCAGCTTTACCAGGAAGCTGTCACTTCACACTCCCCAGGAACCACCACCCATTCCCTGCAGCTTCCTGGGGGAAGGGACTAGACAAAGGGGAAGATGGGCACATGTGCAATGAGTTGGGGTAACATAGGGAAAGTACTTGCCTGTCAATCTAGCTTGGGGAACCATGGATTGGCCAGAGTGGGCAGGACCACTGCAAGCCGGCCAAAATTTGGGAATACATGTCCCCTAGACCAAGCATGTCAATTTGGCCCACATTAAGCTTTTGAGTTTGACATGCTTGCCCTAGACCAGTGGTTGGCAAACTCATTAGTCAACAGAGCCAAATATCAACAGGACAACGATTGAAATTTTTTTTGAGAGCCAACTTTTTTAAACTTAAACTTCTTCTAACGCCACTTCTTCAAAATATACTCGCCCAGGCCTTGGTATTTTGTGGAAGAGCCACACTCAAGGGCCCAAAGAGCCGCATGCGGCTCGCGAGCCACAGCTTGCCAACCATGGCCCTAGACAAAGGGACTAGTGCTCTTGGCTCGTGGTCTTAGCTTTCTCTTGGTTCTCTGGTTCCTTTGGCTTTGCTCCTGCCTGTGTTTTCTTCATAGCCATGTGGCCCCGAGGACCCTACATGCCATGGACTGATGGACTGCAGAGGGGAACACACGCAATTGGCCTGACGCTGGATGGCCCTGTGCTCCAGCAGGGAGCGGAACTGTGGACTCTGGCTCTTCATTCTGCTGTGCTGTAGCCACAGCTACCCTTCTTCCTTGCAGGGGTTGAAAGGAAATGAGACTTTGGAAACTCCGGGGTTTGATTCCACGGAAATACAGCTTTCTACCAACCTCATCCTCCCGTACGAGTCTCAGAAAATTCCTTTTCTGAGGATTTCCTAAGAAGCCCACTCCCACTAGCAACCGGTGGAGATGACCTTCCCCACGGGCAACAAAAGGAGTTTGAGATTACTCCAAGGTACTGAGTGGCAGAGCTTGCATTCCCAGGTTGACTTCAAGTGCTTTTTCTACTGGTCTCCTACTTCCCTCTACATAATCGAGAAAATTTCAGGTCTTTTGTTCAGTTTTCAAGAGTATGCGAGATTTATACTTTAAAGGACTGAAGTCAGACAAAGTATTAATAACTAATGATTCCTGCAACAGAATAATAACCATTAATTCTGGTATCTGATTCTCCTCTGATTACATTGAAATAATTTTTCAAGTTCTATATTCATTTAAATAATTTTTAAAAGGGAACTTTGAGTATAATTACCTGATTTGGATTATACGGAAAAGGAAAAGGAAGAGGAATTGGAATCTACAAAAAAAGAAAAAAAGAAAAAAAGTGAGTTGTGAATAAAATAAAATGTGAACATTTTGTTTTGGTGTTTTTCTCATTTAAGCATTCATTTACTCATCCATCCAGTCATCCATCCATCCAGTAATCATGGAGCAATTATGTACTCTCAGAGAGCCCACCTTCTAATTTGTAGAGGTTAGATTCTAAACATAATTTTTTTTCTTTCAAGAGGTATGTTTATTTTGCTTAATTAGTCAAAGCTAAAGCCTGGAAATCTGTTTTACATGTTGATAATTCTTACAAATGTATCAATTTCTCTACAGTTCATTCTTTGCCTGATATTTTTTTCCTGTTCAGCCATTTCATATAGGAAGAGGACACAATTAATCTTCCTTCTTCAGATCATGGCAATTTTAATTTACCCCATAAGCACAGACACTAAAATCTAATACTAGGAGAAAATGTGGCAATGGGAGACTGCCTTATAGTTAATACGATTCTGCCACCTGGTGGAAGAAAGAGTTTCCATTTCAAATACTAGTGATTTTTTTTTCCATATAGATTTTCACATAATTTAATAATAGAGATTATATAGACATCTCTATAATTTTATACAGAGATTCCTATATTCTAAACCAAGACTTAAGAATTTTTTATTAATTTTAAACAAATCTGAATGCCAGCACAGAAAGGGAAATGATGCACCTAGATTTGACTAAAATAAAAGCAATTAACAATTAATTAAAATGTAAGTACTTAGAAATTTGTTGGCTAAGATTCAGTTAGGACATCTGAAAATGTTTTAGAAGAATGTTTCAGTGAGGACGGTAACTTTGGTGACAACTTTCCAAAAGCCTACTTGAAGTTGAGAAGTAAACCATTTGAAATTAAATACCAGGAAAGGGAAGGTGTTTGTTTTAATTAGATATAAAAACAAAAGTATACAAAATCATATTTATACAAAAATATGTTTTAAACATATTTTTAGGCGGTAACAAGATGTTAAGCAAGATGCTATTTTAAAATTTGTGTGTGAACTTTCCAAAACATCATTGCTTAAAGACTGTCCACATTTAACGTTTCCAACCTGTGTTGCAGTCCCATTGTACTGGTCATTCTCCCCCAAATTGCAGTCTTAGGTCTGTCCCAAGCCCTTGAGGTTCCCTCTGCCTCACCCACTTCTCATCCTGGCTCAGATGCCATCTCCCTGTGAATGAAGTCTTTATCCACAGTCTAATTCAGCTTTGCATTTGCATGCACTTATCAAACCACAGTGGCTTTTCATTTATGAATTTCCCTTCCTCATCAGACTGTGAACTTACACCTTTTTGTATTTCCAGTCCTCAACTATAGACCCCATTAGATAACAGACACTCAGTAAATATTAACCGAATGAATGCTGTTCGTGTCAATAAAAGTATTACATATAGAAAAAAGGCAATTCTATTATGTATTTAGCCTTGTTCTGACCTTTATTAAAAAGTGTTATAAGAATTCAGATATTCGAAAGATGAGAGAGGGTCAAATAAGAAGAGCAAACCAGTTATATTCTTTGACCTGTGAGAAAAACTTAGGGAGAGCTGGAAAAAAAACAAAAAACAAAACAAAAACTGTAGCAAAAAGAAAGCAACAAGGTGATTAAGAAAAAGAAAACAGAACGGGTTTTATAGAAAGAGGTTAGTATTCTCTTCATGGAGGGTAACTAGCCGCATCATAGTTTAAGTAACTCGGTATAAATACTTTTTTGATGGCAAGAGGAGGAGCCACTGAGGATTTGGGGGGACATTCGCTGGTCCCTGGTCACACTCCACCACAAGCTATGTGAGAGTGAGTAGCTGATGCCTGGCAACCTTTAAAGCTTCACATTGCTCTATTAAAATTTGGAAATTTTTATCATCATCATCCAACTAATAAATATTCTTCACAATGTGAGATTCCTCAAATCCATACTTACCGGGGGCAGTTGTGGAGGTGGGAAAAATGGGAACTGAGGAAAAAATGGTAGTCTTTGGGGTGGGTAAAAGCTAAATCTCTGTAAGAAGAAACACGACGTCAGTGATTGTAGACAATGGCAAACTTTTAAAATGATGAATATGTCTTTTGAAAATACAACCAGAAGTTTACCTGATCACTGGAACTGCCTCCAGATTGTTCGAACTTGTAAAAACAATAACAGCAATGAGGTGAATCAACATATGTGGCAAAACTTCACTCAGTACAAAGAGATTTTATTCTAATTGAGGGTAGGTAACAAGCTGCTACTGAGCATTGTGCTCATCAGTAATGTAGCTTCACCTCTGAAATAAAACACGGCTGAGTATCTAATAAGGAAAAGTTGAATGAATTCTGCCCAGTGATCAGAATGGAAGTAAGTTTCCTCAGATTAATTAATACTACATGCCTCTTTTTCTTTGAATCAACAATATTCCCAGCATTTGGAAGTTCAAAGTGAAGGGTATATGGAAGTACAAGTTTAAATTTGGTATCCCCAAACACAAATTTTGAAAGTCCTTCACTTCTTCGAAAACCCCTCTGTTAAAAAAAAAAATGTGCAGCCGAAACCGGTTTGGCTCAGTGGTAGAGGGTTGATCTACGGCCTGAAAGGTCCTGGGTTCGATTCCGGTCAGGGGCATGTACATTGGTTGCGGGCACATCCCCCCAGGGATGTGCAAGAGGCAGCTGATCGATGTTTCTCTCTCATTGATGTTTCTGGTTCTCTATCTCTCTCCCTTCCTCTCTGTAAAAAATCAATAAAATATGTTTAAAAAAAATGTGCAGGGAACAGGGTTTCTTGCCTACTTGGTGTCCTACATATTCAGACTATAATAGACACAGGTTAGACTCATAGATCTCACTTGTATTGATATAGAAAGCGTGGCTATAGTCAACCTGAGACCTTTTGTGGTAAGGGTATCTTTCATAATAAAAGCATAGTATGCAAATTGTCCCCTGGACAGGGAGGTTGTCCAGGAGTTTGACCAGAGGAGGGAGGACAGTCAGCAGCTGCTAGGGACCCTACCAGTGCATGAATTTTATGTGCTGGGCCTCTAGTTATAAATGAAACTCAATTTAAACTGAGTAATTAAGACCTATGTCATGCCCTAGCCAGTTTGGCTCAGTGGATAGAGCCTGTGGACCAAAGGGTCCCGGGTTTGATTCTGGTCAAGGGCATGTACCTTGGTTGCAGGCTCCTCCCAGGCCCAGGTCCTGGTCAGGACTTGTGCAGGAGGCAACCAATCGATGTTCGTCTCTCACATGGATATTTCTCTCTCAGTCTTTCCCTCTCTCTTCCACTCTCTAAAAATCAATGCAAAGATATCTTTAAGTGAGATTACAGAAAAGAAAAGACCTGCATAACAGGCTGGCAGACAATAAGTACAAGACCTGCAGAATACTAGTATTTGTTCTCTCTTGTTAAGTTTATTTGAGATTTTGCTGTGCTCCAATTAGGACTCTTCAGTGCTCCTTCATTTTTATCATTCTCTCCAGGTTCTGAGGTAGCTCTTATAGCTCACTTTACAGACAGGGAAGCCATGGGTTCCTTCCTTGCTCAAGGTCACGCACTTAGCAAATGGCACCATGCAGCGGGGATTTGTATTGGGAAGACCCTTACGCTCAGGGAAAAACAAGACTTGTCTGGGTCTACAATATTGCAGGATTCCACGTTTCTCTTTTTTGAAATGAGAACATATAGGAAATGCTGTCTAACCCAGAAATACTGTCTCTAGAATGGAAGTGGAGTGGACAACTGGCGGGGAGTACTCACAGGGATGGGCAGAGCAGTGGCAGTGCTCAAAAGGCCAGCCAGGATGAGAAATTTCATTCTGAGGGAGGAGTCTGGAATGGAAGGGTTAGGTCCTAACCGTTAGGAGATCATTTTCAGGTTTTTTTTTTTTGAATTTATTATTATTTTAAAAATTTATTTATTTATTTATTTATTTATTTATTTATTTATTTATTTATTTATTTATTTATTTATTTATTTTTGCCTACCTCCTATTCCCATTGTAACAAATTAGTTAGAAATGTTGAAATGAAATGATGGTCAGGCTAACTTCTGCCTCTAGATTCAGGCTTTGTAAGCCTAGACCATGCTTTAAATGCATTGGATGCCTTTAGATGAGACACACACTCTCTGATTCATAGCATTGCATTCCTACTCTTCCTCATAGTCTATACTGTTCTGTCCCTGAAGTTATTTGAATTTGCTATCTCTACCCACAGATCTTCAAACACCAGTGTTATATCATGTTTAGTATTGGGGATGTACCATTACAGACTCAAATTAGATTCCTTATGTAATGTACAAATAAATCTTCCTTGAGCTTCTATGAATTCTGTGAGACTCACCATGGTCTGGGTGCTGTTACTGACAATTATAATTTCTCAAGAAGGAAAGGATCTGGAAAGAATCTTGTAAGGCATAACAGGCTGGCAGACAATAAGTACAATATGAGTTGGTTCCATAAAGCAAATCAATGTTGTCTACTGGCTAGTTGATTCAGAAAGCAAATCTTTTTATCAATCACACTTAATTTAAATAAACTTACCTTATGAGTTTCCAGCCAAATCACTAAACGCTAGAATTGAATTTTGGAAGAAAAAGAAATTTCATCACATTCTTATTAAGACTTGTCCCCAGCATCTGAAGCAAGATATACCTTTTTATATTTAAGTCACTCTTCAACTATTTCATATGTATTTGAAACTGAAATCCGATTTAACTTTGTGTAATTTTATTTTGCCTGAATTTAAGCAACTTATCCTCTTTCCCCTCCTTTTCCACATCTCTTTTGTATTTTTCTTTCTTAAATTCAAATCCTTGAATTTCTTTTTTTCTTTGTCAACTAAAACTATTAGAAATCATTAATTCACCAATACCATAATATCTTACATTCTTTTACCTAATGAATAGAATCAACCCAAATGACACTGTGTGTTATTCTAAAAAATTACCTTTGCTTCAAATGGCCCTCAGAGCATGAATTCAAGGAGCAGTGTGATCTCCTAGTATCTCTATGCCCATCTAGTATTTAAGCTGTATTACTAATGCCTTCATGGGTATGGGCAATATGAGTCATAAAATTCAAAGCTAAAGTGAATAATTGTTTCCAGACTAGAAACTCCAACTCATAAAGTCTCTCAATTGCACAGAGATAGGATTAAAGACTGATTACTGTGAAAATAACTTCATCCCCTTGGTTGGGATTAGGGTAAGGTCTTTAACACAACCCACAATTAAAAACTGTGACTACCAAGAATATTAAAGTGCTTCTACAATATGTCATTTAGGGCAGTGATACTCATGGGAGTCTGAACAGATAGAAAATATTAAGCTTCTAAAATGTTATGTTTTTAGATAATATTTTTCATTTCAGTAATTTTTAGTAAATATTTAGGCACCTGTCTTCAGCATCAAAATCACTTTTCACTATTCCAAAACAGGCAAAACATTTAAAATGTGAGTCAGGTCTAATTAATACCACTAAATAAAATTTCACTGTTCCCAGCAAACTCACAAATAGAAACTTGTTTTGTAACTAGTTAAGATCTCTCATGACATTTCTTTAGAGCTGCATATAAAAACATTCTAAATTTGGGATAATTTCTAAAATGATTTCCCTCGTTGGAAAAATCTAATAAATAATAATTAGATTTTGACTAATCAAATTGCACTTAATTATTTAGACGTGACATGGTGTGATATGCTCTGGTTAAGAACAAGTGACTCACTGAGCTAAGAAGAGAGATAAATAAAATTTTGAGTTAATCAGAGAAGATTATTCTGATAAAAACAAACTCTGCAATAAGTATCCTTCAGATGAAGTTTCCAGGAGCACATGTGACTATCAGAGATAAAGCTCTTAACAACAACAAACTTCTGATTGTTGAAAGAAATAATCAGAAATAATTGCATTAATGTCTTTTCTTTCATGTAAGAAAATATGCAAAAAACCATTTTATTTTCTTTCAAATATTTAAAGTAGAGTAAGGGTGTCAAGGTCTTTCAGCTCCTAGAAAACTCTATTATGGTTTCTTTTATATTTTTGCAACCTAGATTTTACTGTTTTAATAGTTGTCAGAAAAGAGCTCAAATGAGAACACACTTTCTCTTATGACAAATTTTCTTGCTCTCAATTTACAGTAGTGATATTTACCTCTGACTCCATTGAGCATCAAGGCAATTCAGGGATCTCCACTGTTGGTGTTCCCTTTGCACTATTTTGAGGACATGAAATGTGTAGACAGGGCCACCCCCTCTCCCAACACACACAGATACCTGTATAAAAGCTAAAATTAGTTGCATCAAGCAGTGCACAATTGTCTATATTTTTAATTGAATCGATAAAGAACACTTAAATTCAACAATTCCTCCTGTTTAAACTTACATTGTGACAAAGAACATTCATGAGCAACTACCATTTAACAACTGAACATTTGTTTCCCATAGGAAACACCTCTCCTAACCACGTTCACTCTTTTATTTTATTTTTTTAATTAATAGGATCTAGGAAGCACAATTATAATTTGATATGAAGCATGAGCCCTGGTTGATCTTTCACATATAGTTGTTTAAATAAATGACTGGAAAAAAACTTGAACAAGTACTTGGATTTCTATGGACTTTTATTAGCGTATTAAAACATGGAAAATAATACACATTCACAACAAATAGGCATTGTTGCATTTTCTCGACATGCACATGGTATTACAGACAAAAGGATGTAGCTCATAAATTGATACAGTGTGAAGAGTTAAATTCCTACTTACAAACAGCATACAGTATTTTGCATATATCAACTTCACTTAATGTTAAAGTTTTATTTCCAACATCAATGTTAAATGGCTGGTGCATATAGAGTTATCAAGCAATTACTCCCATTGTCTTCTCAGACATGCAAACATTCTGCTAAATATAAATCTACACGTATCACAGCTGCATGGATTTCAGAAGTGGTCAGCATAAGGGAGGCTGCTGGGAAGTTTGAGTTCTTTTAGATCTTAATTCAAAACAGGAGGTTTTCATCTATGTCTTCTGTAAAAAAGCAAAAACAAAACAAAGCACATTTTTTAGGAAGTAGCCAGAGTAATACTAGAAACAACGTTGGAGCTGAAGGATTAGAACGGTTATTAATAAGGCAGCACAATGGTTCTCAGCCAGGGAGGGCATCAGTCACCTGTGATGCTTAAAAAAATATATAATTTCAGGCTTCATGCCTGGCTTTCTAGATCAGGACCCCCAGGGCGGGCTGGTGACATGTGTACATTTAGAAAGCTCTGCAGGTAGTTCTGATGGAGGGTTAGGAACCACTGATGGAGGACGTTGCAGGGGGGCCCAGCTAAGTTTACTAATCTGTAAGGGTTGTTAAAATATAATGGAAATAAGTAGAGGTACAGTGACAAATCAAACTTCCAATCAAGTAACTGGAAAAGAATTTGTTGCTGCAACTATGGAAGAAGATAGCATCCTCAGGGGGCTATAAGACTGCCCCTTACGGTCCTCCCTCCCTCAGTAATTGCTGCAGACAGCTAGTATCCTGTCTGGGGCACCAGGTAATTCTCCTGCCCACTATTCATCTTCCTCTCACTCCAAGGGTGGGAAAAAAGATGAGTTTGGTATATTTCTTTTGAGCACTGGCTTCATTTGTAAAATTGGGATAATAATCTCATGACTTGTAAACTAATTTATGTCCTAGATAATAAAAGCCTAATATACTAAGAGTCCAGCTGTCTGTTCAACCAATTAAAGCATAATATGCTAATGATATGCTAATGCTGCTCAACTGCCCACTATGATGTGCACTGATCACCAAGGGGCAGATGTTATGAGCAATAACTTAGCTTGCTGCTAGGGTCTGGCCAATCAGGACTCAGCGAGATGGGCCGGACATGCCTTGGAGCCCTCCTGCATTCCCTCCCAGCTGGCCAACCTACCGCATCTCTCCCAGCCTGGTGGAGTCCCTCAGCCTGGCCTGTGCCCTCTCAAAATCTGGGACCCGTCGGGGGATGTTGGAGAGCCAGTTTTGGCCCAATCTCGCAGGCCAGGCCAAAGGTCTCCACTGGTGCATGAATTCGTGCACTGGGCCTCTAGTTTGTTTATATTCTTGCATATATCTTGAATAGGTTTCTAATATATGTATAACTTGAATATATTTATTTTTCTTTTTCCTAAAGGAACTGCCCTAGTTCAAGGTCTCATCTTGCCTAAATCTACCACATCATCTTCTCAACTGTTCTTTGGCTTCTCCACAACACAACCAAAAGAAACTTCCTTAAATATAAATCCATGAAATCACTCCCTGTTCAAAACACTTTGGTGAGCCTCCAGAATCCCTAAGGTGATGTCTTTAACTGGCTTAGTAGGACCTGCATGATCTGACTTGTTTACCCTATTAGTCCCACTAGGAAGGCATTCCTAACGATTAGTGTGGATATATGTCAATTTATATGTACACATGTTATGTCCTGGGCAGTAAATAAATAAGTAAGACTCCACCACCTCCTAAATGAACGCCTTTTTGGATACAGAAGGAAAATGAGACCAGCGGGGGATGCGTGGCATACCCTAATTCACATAGCCAGTTAATGACAGAGCTGGAATATTTTAGCACATTTAGTTCATGTCAAGGGCTGTTAAAATTCAGGAAAACACTGGCTAAAATGATCGTGTCCTTCTGTTGATTTCTCAGCCCCAAGGGGAGGAAGGATATACTTACAAACGAAGACATACTTGATTTGCTTTCCTTATCTGTATCCCAAAGCAGCAACCTTTTTACTGGTTCTGCCAAATGTTTCATATCTGCTTTATTGGCTTACTGTGTG